GATTGCCTGTGACAAGGTAACCGGTAATTGTTTATGTAGCACTCCCGATCCTTTGCAGGGGATGCTCACCGCGGACGGCAGAACAGACCTGAATCCAGTAGACTTCTCAGGATGACTAACCTTCTCACCGTCCAAGACAGCCAAAAGGCACAGCAGAGCCACTTTTGAATTTTGATATATGATAGTAATTACTTGTCTTTCAAATTTGAAGGAGGGTGAGCAAGCATCTTAAGGAACATTCATCATTAACTCCTTCTCCAAAAAAATAAAATATATATATTCAATAATAAATGAATATGTGAATCATAACAGTGATTGACAGCTGATAGGAATAATATGATTGTTAATAGTATCATATTCATTCAGACAAACATCGATGAGACAGTTAATTAATGTACTTATTGCAGCAGTCTGCATAGATTTGCTGGTCTAAGAGTGAAACAAACTCATTCAGTTATTGTTGAGTTAAAATTCATAAAATTATGTCTGACACCTTATATATTTATATGTAAGGCTATGTTATTGAGTTAAAATATCAATATTGTGGCTTTCCAAGTTAACATTGATTGATATGACTGGGATTAAATCAGCATATACTTCTGCCAGGGGATGCCACCCCTCAAAATCTCCTGCCACCCTCTTGCCACCCCATGAATATTGTTCTAGATCCGCCCCTGAGGGGAAGCAAATACACAGACAACACACGACGTAGCTTTAGGTAGCAAAACACGGAGATATGCTCACTTTAGCTGTTATTCTGATCAAAAGTCGTGTTCAATGGCATTAAAACGAGAAAAAACGCAGCTGAAGGCTAATCCATAGGTTAATCCAATGTGTCTGTGACTTTGAAAAAAGTATTGATAATCCATAATTCAATTTTTATGCAAATATCAGAGAATACAAATGAGCTGGTAGCAGTGTTGCCGCTCCAGTTTTGGCTACGTGTCACTCTCACTCCTTATTTGGTAACCTGTGTGTGTATGTGGAACTTTCCCTCGATTCCATTGGCTCCAGCGGTTAAAAAGAGATGTCAATCATCAAAATCGACCAATGGGTTCCAGAGAAACGGCATAAACGCCCATTTCCACCCAAATGGCCCCATAGGTGGAGTTTTTTTTGCTAAACCTCTCAAAAAAGTTCAAATGTCACTTGTTTTGCATTAATCTTGATAAAGGGTAATTATTATATGTTTCACTTTGGATTCCTAAAGCTTTTAGTCTACTAACTAACCCATCATCCAAGGGTAGTTTTCACTATAAGTGAAAAAGAACTTTTGGACGGACACTATAATTTACAGTTTTTTCTAGGTTCAATCTGAATTCTCTTTAAAATAAAAAAACATCTATATTGATTCTGACTTTTTCTACATACAACTCACAGGTTTATCATTACTTTGAGAACAAATATTATTAATTTTCCCCTTTTAGAAGTGTAGTTATGGTCATTTGTTCTGAAAGTGTCATTTTCGAGCCTGAGACCTGAAAAAGGTTTGGGGTCTAACAGGTTGCACTATTGAAAGAAGTCTCAGTTCGAAAGAATACAAATTTTTTCTCTGAATAATTGTTTAAAGTGGTCTCTCAGCATTGCATGTAATAGTCTCTTTTGGTGCTTAAAAATAGGAAAGTAAAACTGTAGTATTACCATATAATGTTGCAGACGTAACTTCAATACATTTCTACATATTTGTATTAAGATATGTAATGTACATTTAATGATTTAATTTTGCCAACTATGGCAGGTCTGAGGTTTGCTACCCGTGACATGCAGTGGAACCCATAAAAAGTATCACAATTTGCAAGTTGACAGTTATATTTGTCCGCAGCCGACGCCTTGCTTCTGCTTCTTCGCCCTGGCCTAACACTCAGAAGTGTCAGACATCCCACTTTGCTCATGTTTGATTCAGCCTTTTTCTCTCTCACGGTTCTTTGATTAATTCTCACCCTTTTCTGCCAACTATTCGCCTCCTCGTCCTTTTTCTTCTTGGCGTCTTCCAGCTGGGAGATCTTAGAAGTAAGCTCTGCCAGCTCAGTGGCCTATACGCACACGCACACAAATGGGAAGAGAGTTAAGAGTGCTCCTGATCTCAGGTCATCGTGTTCTGTTTGCGAATGTGTGTGTCGGAGAGAAAGTGTGTGTGTCTGAGCGGGCAAAATCATGTAATGCAGCATCACGTCTCTGCTTAATTTCCTTTCTGTTCAATCAGCTAAAAATGTGAATAATTTGAAATACACATTCAAACTGAATTTGTAAATCACTTGAGGAAATCAATACATTTCCAATTTCTATCTAAGAGGTGATCAATATATGTAGATATCACTGAATGAGTCCTTGACCGTGGGAATGATGTAAATAGGTCTCAGAGTTAATTACTTTACAGCTACCAGTTTTTCAGTTTTTGCAGATTTGGAGTGAAGCCACCTTTTAAAGGTCTCATGTCATGCTTTTCCGGTCATTACCCGTCCCCTTGTGTGTTATGAAGGTTTTTATGCATGTAAACGGTCTGTAAAGTCACACAAACCCTCAAAGTACACTCTTTAGCGAGTAAAACTCTAACACAGAAAAGACCTGTCTATGCTGCCCCAGAACGTCTCGTTGGAGATTTCTCATTTTCCATTTTTTTCTTCCGGGATCCAACTGGGGGGGGGCAGGAGCTCCAACAAGGCGTGGAGGACAGAGAGTGAATACACATACTATACAGAGATGCTGTATGAGAAAACCAATGTGATTTTGGAACATTGAACAACGTAAATCTATTCTAGTAGACCTCAACAATGGAATTATGATCAGTAGAAATGGCCATGACATGGGACCTTTAATGACTCGATACAATTGGAATTGATTTACACCCAGCATGCAGGTGTGTTTTGTGTTTGTGAGTACCAGGCTTTCCTGGCCCTTGATCTGGTGTTCAGACTGGTAGAGCAGGGCTGCTTTAGCTTCCACTGCAGCTCTGCGCTCCTTGTCCAGTCGCTCAGCCTCCTCCTGAGCTATTGTCCTCTCCTTCTCTAATTCAAGAGCCTTGCGAGTCTGCTCCTCCAGCTCTGAAAAACGCACGTTATCGTTATACCCAGACGTGCTCCTGTAACATAGGCTTTGTAGACAACCTAAAATCACAAAGATTAAAATATATATGTCGTTCATTTCATGTTCTTAAACAGAACAAAGTTGAGAAACATTTGAAATCAGAAAGTTATCAGACCATCTTGAGCTCTCTTTGTCTGCTCTTCAATCTGTCTCAATCTCTCCATCAGCTCCATGGTCTCACGAGCAATCTTCTCTGTTTCCTTCTCAGCATTTTCTCGCTTTTTTTTCTCACTCTCCAGCAGAGCCCTGACAGGAGAATTGTGCATAAATACATATCTGAAAAAAGACTCTCCTGACAGTTCTTTCTTAAAGCAGAGAGAACACACTGTAAACTGTAAGAGGAAAATAAGCCTTCATTATTATGTCTCCCCTCCTTACTTCTCCTTCTGCCTCTTGTTCTTCTCCTCCCTGGCCTGGGCCTTCATCTGCTGCACCTCGATAGTGTCGGGTTTACGTCTACGCATGTACAGGTCATGATTCCCCATACACAATGCCAGGATACGTTTGTTGATGCGGAGACGAGGCACGTAGAAAACAAAATCCTTAAATGCAAAAATCGGTTATTTATTCCATTTCATTATCATCTCACATCTGTTTCACAGTCAAGAACGGGTACCTGAAGGTATAGTTTAGTTTGGTAGAATCCAGATATTTTATTTCCTAAACTCTTGGATGATTTCCTCAAGTCTGTGTATGCAGGCAGATTGTAATGGGATGCAAATTTCATGTTTGTGAGTAAGACCAAGTAGCAGCTGCATTTGCAAAATTGGTTATTTTGTCAGTAAGTAGAAGAGATTCTCTCGCATCTCATGTTTTTAGCCACAGTGATAAGAATGGGCATATATCTGAAGAAATACTGATCTTGTAGATTTTAAAATGTATCATGAAAAAATACTAAAATAAGAGTACTAAATATTTAACCTTAAGTACAGGAGAAAGAGCTCGTATTTAATACTTTCGAAAAACATAAATAAATTAACTAAGATTAACTTGCAAATAACATACTATCAAATTGCACAAGAATGCTGACAAAGGTGGGGTAGGTAATTGTGGAGAAACCAGCTCGAGTGCACTAGAATTTGAAAATACACAGCCGGCAGACTTCCGGAATGAAGAGTGAGGAGTAGACGTGTTTTCCTCCGCTCCCTCGCTTCCAACTTTTGTATTATGTAGAAACCTCGTTACTCACTTCATACTTACACTAGTCGATACATACTGAGCAACTTTATACCTTAAGGAGACATGCCACCAAAGCCCGCAAAACAAGTCAAGAAAGACTCTATGCCTACGGAGAACGTCGCCACTAGCGACGTTAGCATGAGTTGTGGTATGTTCTCAATTGCCCTTTCCAATTAAACAAGTTGCTCGCAATTCGATTGTAACTAACACTTTAAAGATTTGGGGTCAGTTTAGGAAGCAGTTTGGCTTACAAGCGTCATCAGGTCTAGCCCCAGTCTATCGCAATCACCTTTTCCTCCCGTCGTGCTCGGATCCTGTCTTCCGGACTTGGTCAGACAAAGGTCTGTGGCCTATTAATGAACTTTATGCTGGTAGTGTTTTCTATTCGTTTGCAGATTTAGCCAACAAATTTGACCTTCCAAGTTCTCACTTGTTCCGATTCTTTCAGATCAGGCACTTTGTGGAAAGTAAATACTATGGAGCTAATTTCCTGCCATAACTCCACAAACAAACTAAACAGGTTTTTACAAATGCCTCATGATTCACGAACAAACACAATGTGGTTTGCAAAGTTTTTATTTTTTACAAGTACAAAACTTTTTCTTCTCATGGTGGAATATTCCGCCGTGAGAAGAAAAAGTTTTGTAGTTGTAAAAAAAAGTTGTGTACTTGTAAAACCTATGCTGAATTTGTCTCTGAAACATGATTTATTAGAAACATGTTATGTGTTTGATAGATACGTTTTTCCTTTGCAAAACTAAATGCATTCGTTTGTAGATGGTGTTTTGTATTTGCAAACCACATTGTGTTTGTTAGTGAATCATGAGGCATTTGTAAAACCTGTTTAGTTTGTTTGTGGAGTTATGGCAGGAAATTAGCTCTGCCCTTTTCGGAATTCCTCTGATGGCCAATGCACCCATTACCACACAACGAGTTATTGCATTCACCACTTATACTCCTTAAATGGATACATTACACAGTATTTTACATGTAATGTCTTGAAAATGTCTGTTTTATATCTGTGCGAAAACTAATAAAAAGATTTATAAAAAAAACAAAAAATACACAGCCGGAAAAAATCTGCCACTTCCTTACAGAGCCCCTCCTCCAACAAACACGAACGCGCACATGACCGATGAGGGCACGAGATAAGTTTGTGCACAGATGGAAGGCTGACAGGCAGGCAGGCCATCCAGTTATTTTAGCCGGGCCGGCTAAAATAATTGGTCGTGCTTTTTACAGTGCTAAGGCTTCCACAGATAACATTTTTTAATGGATTTTTTTTCAAAGCACTTAAGATATTCATTGCTATCGGGATGTTAAGAGCATTCCATGGAATATAACAAAAAGTGTATCTCGAGCCGGTTTCTCAAACTTACCTACCCCACCTTTAAGATTTGTTGGAAAAACTGCAATTTCGACAACATACTCTGCCAGCTAATGTTAGCTGTGTTGAATTCCATATAATAACATGCTTCATATGATTTATAGCTGCTGCAGATAAATCACTAATAATAATGTTTTGCATACCGGAGATTTCTTGTCCATTGGTTTGATGACAAACTTCTTGTCGTTGAAGGAAATGTTTCTGATCTCACTCCAGGGGAAGCCAATCTTTGGGGTCATCCTGTAAAATATGTTCAGGGTTTACCACTGTGGTATATTAAACAGAGGTTATCATGTTCTCTACAAAGTTTAAACAAGCTTAAAACAGCCAAGCTAGCAACTCTGTGTAGTTAGGTACATAACTACTGTGAGCTGAAGGCTAACTCACAGCGACTTTGCATTCACTCTCTGCTGATTCACCTTTAGTTTAGTATGTAATCATTGTAAGTGTAGATGAGCTTTTCATTCTGTGGGCACCATTACTTTCTCTGCAAAATGTAATTACAATACAGTTGTCTACCTAATTGTGGTACCAAGGGAAAAGTCCTGTGATTTCCAAAGTCATTAAAATTCATTCCCACGGGACCATGAATATTTGTAATGCATTTTTTGACCTACGATTGTTGACATTTTACAAAAAAAAAACTAATTGTAATCTGTTTCAACAGATCATTTCTAAGTAGAATATGTAGGCAAGTAGACAGGATATGTAGGCAAATAGACAGGATATTGGTAAGTGCTCTGGTGTCCATTGAGTGTTCTTTGGGGGCTTTCAGGTAAACAGTCAGTGTGGAGCTGAATAGGCTGATTCTGTTGGCCACAATGCAGTCTCGGAACATATTTAATTTATCTACATTAATTTGCTAATTTCTCTAAAGAGATGAGCCTTAGGCGTTACATCTCAACTCCATTCTCGCATCTTGAATTGCAAATCAGACTGTAAATAACCACCAGCGCACAGACGAGGAAGTAACTGCCTGCCATGTGTGATATGAAACAATTATCTGGCGGATAGACCGGAAACATACACAAATATACATCTCTTTCTTTCCATTTACCCCCCTAAATATTGCCCCTAGAGGCTGACTCGTCGCCTAAATGGCAATGTATTCCGAGATAAACCTTGTTGTAATGTTAGATGTAAGGTCAGGGGATAATTCAACTCAGTAGTTTATCCACTGGGGATTATGATTGTCATACGAAGGTAGCATCAAAGGAAGCATACATTAATTTACCACAAGACATTTCAGCGGACCTTTTTTAAGTGTGACATACTTATCCTTTTTGTCGTAGATGTTCAGCCCCAGGGCATCCACTCCCAACCACAGCTCTGACCCTTTCTTGTTCTTGATGTTAAAGTAGTTGACACCGTACATCTCCAGATCCTGGGCTATCTTGAGGTACTCCACCATGGCATCTTCCCTGTGGTGCAGAGCAGATGAATGAGCAACAGTCATCGCGAATGCATTAGCAACTTTTTTTTGTAGTAAGACTGCAGTACCTCAGCAATCCCTTGTGCTCTTCATGCCACACCTGGATTCTCTCCTCCCACTGATTCTTATTCAGCTTGTGCTGCTCCAAAACCCTGGTTTATCAGTAAAAAGGACACACCAGTTAGAATTCAAATGACTGAAATTGGAATTAAGGTGAACCTTGGCTAACATAACCATAGGCACCTCTGTGGCAGCAGCTTCTCTCTTGCAAGGTATCCCGTCGCGTGATAGTCTTTCCTGTAGTCTCCTTGTTTGACCTGAACCGCATACGAGGCCAAGAGCACGGCAGTCTCAGGTGGACAGTATATGTCATCATTTAGGATGCATTCTTTGACCTAAAACAGAAAAAAGAATGACAGATCTGCTTTAACACATTATCCCTTATGTGTTATGATAATTTGTGTAAAGATGTAAACAACGTTGTAAATGTTGGTGTGACTCAAAGAGAAGAAAAACCATATGTGTTCTGGTGTTTATTTAGTGCACCTGGATTCATTTTTTGTAGGCAAGGACTCCCTCATGGAAGATCCATGAGGGAGTCCTTGCCTACAAAAAACAAGAAACTGCGTGAGTCATCATGGAACCCCCACCGGTCGTTATGATTCCTATTGTTATGATTTCTATTGTTGTGGAGTTGAGTATTGAATACAAATTTGACTTTCCTTTTATCTGGATCGATCTCATTGCATACAGATATTGTTTGGGGTTATATTAGATAAGCAGGATTCTCTTTAAAAACAATGTCCTTCCAACCTGCAGAAAGAAAAGGCGCTGAGTTGCTTCCTGGATCAATTCCTCTGTGACATCCTCAGGGTAAAACTTTGCTCTGAACTTGATCAACAAAGGGTTGTCCCTCTTCACATCTTGCGCAGTCACCTGGGATCAAACCACATAACAATGAAGGAATATACTATATAATATAATATAATATGCTATTGAGCCTCAATGGAGTGACACAGTAGCATTACCAACTCCAAAAGCATGGTTGCAACTTCATCTAAAATAAGGGAACTAATGCCGTCTGGGGGATGTAAAGTTAAACACAAACATTGTCCTTACCCTCTTGTTCAGTTTGAGCCAGGTGGAGAAGCCTTTGCTGTCCTGATACTGGAGGCCAAAGAACCAGGTTTCCCTCAGCCCGATGGTCTTCACTATCTAAACACATAAGTAACACCATCACACACATGTACGTCGAAGCTCCTGTTTTAATTGTAATGCACAGGGTACCTGGTCAAAGAGCTGTTTGCCAGTCGTGCTGGGCAGGATGGCAAACTCCAGCTCAGCATCCATGGTTGTAACTCGGACATTTATCTGCCAGAGAAAACACTCACACTGAGCTACAGGAGGAAACAATTCATCCCTGCTGCTCACTCATCTTTGTCACTGGGAAAGCATCAAGGAGTATGCAAAGAGACAAGCTGGGCGAGAAGAAGCACTACCAATTCTGTGATCATTTGTTGTGTTCTTTGAAATAATGCTACATTTATTGGTTCTTTGACAGAAATATGACCAAAAAGAGTGTTCTTACATTCTTCTGTTCAACCAGGAGCATCCAATCGCAAGAGGTTGGTGGGGACTATAATCACAAAATGAAGCCCACAGTATATTTTAGACTTAACTGAGAACATGGGGTGCATTCCATGATGCATGTAGCATTTACGTTAATGTTGATTATTAGAATCAAAAAGCATACACATATCTGGTATACTGACACAATATGAAAGAAAAAGCAGCATAGAAGAGAAATGGATGGCTCCATTCCCCCTTAAACTTTGCTGAGATTAATAGAGCACTGCAGATATTAGTGCCTAATTCAATAATCATTACAAAAGTAATAATAACAATAACGTGCTTAATTTGTAAGCCTCTGAGGGCTTACTACTTCAATAAATATTTATGAAAAACAGGAAGAGAAAGATTTACTTTGCTACTGTTTTGTTTATCTATAGTGTGACAAGACAGATTAATAGAAGAACACAAGTGCAACAAATAAGAAACATCTGGCAGCTGGGCAGGACATCATGATATGTTTTGCTATAAAAATGGTTTCCTATGGTTAAGAACTTCGGACTAATGCCTTGTTGGAGCCTTTAAATAACAGAGCAGGTTCACACATTTCCATCAAAGCACTACAATTCAACAAACACATGAAACACAAGGAAAATAAAAAGATATAAAACCGTAAAGGTAGCTACTTACAGTTGACATTTGTATTTTTTTAATCTGTAGCCGAAGCACTCCTTCAGAGAGGTGCTTGTAGTAGCGTTTTCTCTGCGAAGTCATATGAAACTGCTTGCAATACCAACAAGGATTATACTGAGTGAGAATGGACCATTGTGCTCCCAAGTACTTCTCTCTTTGTTAATCCCACAGCAGCCAGGGCCCCCACGTGTTATAGAGAGGCATACTTCATTTATACTGTGGACACTTTTCTTCTTTATTTGATCAGGTTTTCACTGATTATCCCTCACAAAGCACCTGTATATTTTTCCACTTCCCAAATGTTATTGTCGAGAAAATAAAATTAGGAGTCGGCATAACTCAGCCAGTACCGGTCTTCCAGTTGCAGCAAGGACGCACACACACTAATCCTCCTAGGTAATGTTTAAAGCATAAGTAATGGCATACAGTTATTTTAGTGTGGCAGATGTGTTTTGTAAGCCTGTTGCCAGTTTCTTTTCAAGAGAGTGTTTCTGGCAACACGATCGTGTATTACACTATAACTGTACTGTTATCTTATTGATGGGTTTCGTAACATTTGTTCATATTATGTTCAACTTTACCTTCATTGCACAGAAGGACTGGGACAATAAAATGCAGTAACCAGAAGTGAAAGAGAAGTAGTAAAATGCAATGTAATGTAAAGGTATAAGATTATGAGAGAAATAAAAAAGCTAAAGTATATTCACTATGAACAATAAATATTGGTGAGTATTTTTTCCAGAGTAATTACTATTTTGCTCTGAAATAGTGATATTTAATCATTTTGGAGTGTATTTATTACTCATAGCTTCTAGAGTGTGATTAAAAATGCAGAGACAATTCTATTGGAGTTAAACCATGACCACGCCCACTCATGTTTCACTTCTGCCGCCATTACAAATCCCGCACAGACGCACTGTTGAAAGCAGACGGAAGAAGAGCAGAAGAAATTCATGCCAGGTCAGCTTATTTTACAGGTTAAATTAATGTTAGAAATGGTAAAGATATTGAGAAACAACACAGCTAGCTACAATTAAAAAAGAGGCTTACTGCACAATTCGTTTAGTCAGATGCTAGCATTAGCTTTTAGCTGATTAACATTAGCAAAGTACAGCACTGTCACCGGTTTATGGACAATATTAATCCCACTTGTAATGGTAGATAATAATTGCATAACATTACTGTTTAGCTATATGTGTGCAAGGCAAAACAATTGAGAAACAATACGGCTTGCTACCATTTTAAAGTAAGCTCACTTTAAAATTGCTTTGTCAGATGCTAGCTTTAGCTTTTAGCTGTGAAAATTACAGTATACAGCACTGTCAGCGGTTTAAGGACAGTATTAATGCATAGTGGATCAGTGAAATAACTGTATTTAATCATTAACTGAGCAGTGTTTTTACAGACAGCAGGTGCACTAAAAAGCTTTAGCTGCTAACGCTACAGCACCACGTGTGTTTTACTCTGACAAGAGCAGAAACTGTTCTCATTCGTAACACTCCGTTCGATGTCTCACTATGGGATGCGCCTCATCGCGGAGCAAACAGAAGCATCAATCTCATTACGCCAATCCTGATTGGCTGGTGATCTTGACGTCAGCGTCAGGGAATCTACCCCCTATAAGTAGCTTGCGCTACGCCGCATGCATCATTCAAACACCTCTTCTCGCTTCAGAGCACATCTCTATTGGTAGCCGGGCTAGCTCACACAGTCCACAGACGGAACCAAGCTATCCAAGCTAACTTCGGTCGACGGGCGCTCGCCGGCTACTTCTATATATACTTCTGCAAGAAGACTGTTAATACTAACACACCAGTTAGTGTTGCAATCTACCTCGCTGTTTATTTCTTCGGAATTAAAGGTAAGGTTTTGATTTTTCAAGCTGGTAACACACCTGTTACTAGCTTGCCTTTCCTCACTACCGACACCACGGTAGCGGGGACGTTTTTTTTCTTTTTCTCTCTCACACCAGAGATAAAAAGGGTATTAATACACCAGTTAATATTCTTTGAGAATAAAATTCTACACCGTCGCTTTTTCCCCGGATTAACGACAGGTGGGGAAGGATTTTTTTCTCAGCAACGTACCTATTACGAGCGGGTCC